CCATAACCCTGATGATGCAAGTGCTATGGGACAACACTTTGTGAGTGGTGAGGATACAAACCAGATCTGGATTCTACTTTCTATTATTGGAGAAGTTGGGAGTGGGGAGGGAGTGTGGATAGAAAATTCTACTTTGAATTATTTGGTTTTCTTAAAGAGTGGCTTTTATTTGTGCTCCTCCCACCTTTCAGCATTCATAGAACATGCTGGGCCACATCCACAATCAAGACTGCTGCCTTTTGTGTGACACATAGTTCGCGTTAATATTTTGTGTAAGAACAGCTGCTTATGAGTCAAGTCACCCCAACCGCAGTGAGGTGGAGGATGTTCACATGTTGGAACTGTCCTGCCAAATAAATGTGGCCCCTGTTGCGCTGTGTTTTAATTTGGAGTGGGGAAAAGAAGCTCTTGCTTTGTTTCAAATAAAAACCTTTAGACAAAATTCTCGGTTATGTTTCCTTTATGTAATAGGCTGGCACAGTCTCAGAAATCTTCCTCTTCATCAGATGTTTGCAAAACTTTAGGCCTTTGAGCTTGAACCTGGAGGTGAAAAAAATAAGCACTGTAAGGAAGGAAAGGCAATGTCTGCAAAAACATTCGATCTGAAAATCACCTTTTTATGAGGGAGTCAGTAAAAAGAACTCAGGCAGTTTTTATGTTCACCTTGTTATTTTATTTGTTTTCTCCTCAAATTCCCTTTACCATCTTTGTTGTTCTTATGACTCCCTCACCCTCCATTAAAAATTGCAAATTGGGCGAGTCACAGTGGCTCAGTCCTATAACCCCAGCACTTTGGGAGGATGAAGCAAGAGGACACCTTGAGGCCAGGGGTTCAAGACTAACCTGCAGCACAGAAAGGCCCAGTCACAATGAAGACAAATAAATGAAAAAATAAAGTAGTAAATCAATCTGACCCAAGATCACATAATCAGTGGGAAAGATGAGATTTCAGCTACAACTCACCTGACTGGAAAAGTGCGCTGCTAGGTCCTCTGTGTTCTACATATCTTGCTAACCATTAGGGGTCTTCTTGTACTTCTCCTTTAAAACTGGAAACTCGGCTGAGTACAGAAAGGCATAGAAAGCAACATATTGCACAATCATTAGCAGAATGAAAAGGCAAAGATTAAGAACTATGTGACTGCAAGTTAGGCTGTAATCCTAGAAGTGGACATCTCAGCACAGACAAACCTGGAAGGGAGGAGAATCAGTGAGGCCCAAGAAGACAATCCAGTCTCTGCACTGAATAATTCCCTTAGACATACCAAAAAGGGCTATGGCAGGGGGGCACCCAAGATGGCCGAATAGGAACAGCTCCAGCCTCCAGCTACCAGCGTGAGCGACACAGAAGACGGGTGATTTCTGCATTTTCAACTGAGGTACCGGGTTCATCTCCCTGGGGCGTGTCGGACAGTCGATGCCGGTCTGGGGGTGCAGCCTAACCAGTGAGAGCTGAAGCAGGGCGAGGCATCACCTCACCTGGGAAGTGTAAGGGGGAAGGGAATTCCTTTTCCTAGCCAAGTGAAATTGAGACACACAACACCTGGAAGATGGGGTAACTCCCACCCTAATACTGCGCTTTACCAAGGGTCTTAGCAAATGGCACACCAGGAGATTATATCCCACACCTGGCCCGGAGGGTACCCAGTTATCCTCCAATTCCTCACCATGTAAGCCTATCTCAGTCATGCCCCGGACTGCATTGAAGCCAGCCTGCCTTGAAGAAGCTCTCCCAGAATGCCCTTTTCCCCAAGGTAGGGTCATGATTCGCCAAATGTTTAGCGTGTGTTAGCAAGACTGGTGTCAGAGCAGGCATCAAACCTTACATCCCATATGTCACACCTCACCACACACCTGGGTGCCAAATAGCCTGAAGAGTCTGAACTCACGTTGGCCGTTAGCAAGGTGCTCCTACGGCTGCATCTGCAGTTAACATAGCATCCCTATGGCCACTGTCTCCCTGGATCTCCACAGCCATCCTAGGAGAAAGGCAGAACATCATCATTTGATAGAAGGGATACTGAAGCTCTGGGAGGAAAGGGGACTTGCCTAAAGCCCCAGGATGAAGCAGCAAATCTGGACTCTCGTAGACAGCCTAGAGCTGCCGGCCTTCCCTTACGATCTGTGCCCTTGGGACTGGCTTAATTTTTTCCTCTCCAAAGAGCCATCTGTAGGGCCAGAGGCTGGCAAAGCCTGACTCATCACTGGATGCCAGTTCCTTTGACTGACTTTCAGTGATTCCTATCTTACCCTGGGGTGTTGTGTTTCTTGTCTCAGCACTGTTATTTCTCATTCCTCCACAAGTTGAACTGCTCACTCCAGCCACTTGAAGCATGCTCTTCTTGACACAGTTAACTCTAGGCACATGGCTGGTGCTAAAAAGAAAAAAAGAGCGTTATGTCAATTTCATTGATTAACAAAAGTGATGGCTCCACTACAAAGTAAAGGTGATACTGCCTGGGCCTCTGAGTTCAACAGGCTTTTAGACAAATGACTCCGAGCTAAAACATGAGCATGCATACATACACATCTGTCTTGGTGTAATGAGATAATCTGGGTATCGGTTGTTATCCTTGAGCATTTTCCTGCCTCATTAATGCATGTGTAGCTAGCACAATAATAATCATAGCTATTAATGCCTAAAGCTGAGGGCTTTCCTGAGCCAGGCAGTGGCTTTAAAAACTTTAAAAGTTAAAGCTAACGACTTTCCTCAGCCAGATAGGGGCTTTAAAACCTTTAAAGTTTTCACATAGGCTCTCATTGAATAATTTCTGTTTTTCAAACCAAGAAACTGAGACTTACTATCACATTTGGGATTAAGTTAAAAAAAAAAAAAGAAGAAAAGAAAGAAACTTTGGCTTAAACCTGTCAAGTATTTCAAAGCCAGCAAGTGGCTAAATCGGAACTTGAACCCAGGCAGTCTAGCCCTGGGATCCTGTGCCCTTACCCAGTATCCAGTGTCAGCTACACAAAACTCATGAGTATATGTTTTCAACTATAGTTTAAGTGGGTGACATATTTTTCACTATATTTTATGTAGGTGACTTTCAGTTTGGGGGTATTCTACTTACACTATCTATTGAGCTGTGGATATTAACTGAGAACAAACAGAAACTAATGAACTCTGAAAAACATAAAACATGAGCAACATGATGTCACTGCAAACATGATGTTACTGCAAAAGACAAAACAGCACATAGCCTTCTTGTGACTGTATTTTGCTGACAGTCCACGAGCTAATACTCAGCCTGAACTCAGCAGTGCTGTTCCCTTGGGAGACACACACACACATGAGTTGGTGGTTTTGTGCCTCCCCAACAAAACACACACACATTGGCCATTGTGCCGCCGGGAGCCTCCAGTCTGCCAGTGTGTGGAACGGACCAGATGGGTCCAGTAGTGTTGGGTCAAGGCGAGCAGAGGGCAGCCCGAAGCGCGCCCATGCTCTGGACTCCTGCACCCGCGGAAATGGGTGCTCACGGGGAGCGCGGGAGTGAGGGGTGAGGGGTCAAGGGTGAGGGGTGAGGGGTGAGGGGTGAGAGAGAGGGGGACTGGGTGGAGGCAGCCCCTTCCCAGGCGGCAGCGGGGGCGGTGGTGCTGTTGCCCTTTTAAGCTGCCGCTTCACAGGAGCCCCGCCTCCTGTGGGTGGAGTTGGTTACAAGGGGAGCAGCCGCCCAGGGGACGCCCCACAGCTCCCGGCAGAGGCCTCGGTGTCCTTTGCGGTTTTCCTGCCGTGCTCCGACTGGAGTCAAGGCAGCGGGAACAGGCGGAGCCGTGAGAGCGCCGCCGAGCGGCCCCACCGGGTGGTCGCGGCCATAACAGCGGCTCCTCACCGGCTCACCTTCCACGCCCCTGCCGCCGGAGATGAGGGTAAGATGTCCCTGTCTGTGTGTCCGTGTCCGTGTCAGCGCCCAGCGGCGGCCCCAAGGGGCAGGGCGAGGGCGGAGAGGAGGCTCTGGAAGTACCTGGACAAAGAGGAGCCTGCCCGGGAGAGGCCCCGGTTCCCGGGCGGGGCGAATGCGCCCCTTTCTCCTGTAACTGGCCCGGCCCGATCGCCGGGACTGCCAGAGGCTTCAGTGGGAGGAGGCGGAGGGCGGGTCTCTCTGTCTCATTGCGGGGGACTGGCTTGGGGGCTGCTGGCACCTCTCGCCCTCGTCCCGGAGCCCCGAGCTGGGAGCCCGCGTCGCCCGCAGCCCTTTCGGGGACCGTGATCGCCCTCAGTCAGCCGGCCTG